CATTGAACCTCCTTTTTTAAACAACAAATTTAAATAAATTAATACTCGAGAACACTGAGCAAAATATTACGAATTCGATTTTACATAATCTGGTGTAATCAGTACGCCATTAGTTTTCAGTTATACTAACATGGCGGCCTTGCGATCTCGTGCGATTGTAACGGACTGAAGGAAATGACGAAAGTCTTCAGCCAGGAAAGCCAGTTACCTCGTCGAAATCGTCCACTTTTTTCAGGTTATACAACTTGCGAACGTGATAATCTTATGTTTCTGGTCATTTGCCCTCTGGCATGGAGAAGGAATATTTTATGCTCTTTGCCCCCCGCAACAATAAAGTTCCGTGGTAAAATTTCTTCCCTGAACAGCTACAGTTATTCGGTCGGTATAGCAGTGTCCTGCTTTCGTGGAATCCAACGCCATTGGACCCTTTGTTGAGCCAGTTGACTCCAATTCACACCTCTAACACCTTGTCTGCCGAAGATTCGTTTTAATGCTGGCTGCCCTGCATCTCTTCGTTGTTTTCCTCAGGCGTTCTAAATGCCGTGATAATACCTGTAATGTGGCAACGGCCATTTCCTTACACGTTCCTTCGAATTTGGTTGTCTTCTGGGTTGTTGCACCGTGTAGATGTTTACCGACGTTTCAGAGGTATTTGCTGCCTCCATCACCATGATGATGGAGGCAGTGAGGACTTCTAAAACGTCGGTAAACTTCTGCCACACTCCACGGAGCAAAGTCATGTTCGTGCTCTCCGCTGAGAGAACCCGAAGTCTGGCATCGCCATTTTTCTAGCGTTGAATTTGCTGTTATGGAACGACACAAAACAGGAAATGGCATTGAATTACTAATGAGACAGCGCACAGTCAGTGCAAGGGAAAACCTCTTTGAGAAACGTTGATGGCGTGGGAATCAAATCAGTCCGTTGTTTAAAATCGATGGTACCAGCTGTACTTTTGAGTTTGCAACTTATAAAATTAGAAGAATTTTATGATATTCAAAATACCAGAATAAGTAATTAAATTATTCTTTATGGTAAAATTAATTATTGAAGATGTTCTGGATTCACTTCACGAACTTACGCAAAATATATTTTAGCTGTTGGCAGCATATCCGGTCTGAACGTTGTGATTTTCCCCAGTCCCTCCGTTCGAATTTCTAAATAATACCTTCGGTTAGGACATGTGTAATTTCTTACATTGTTTAACGACTTTGTTTCAACCTCAGTCGTCTCATTTGATGGTTTGGACCTCAACGATGATTTGGAAGAATTCGTGCAGACTCCACTTATTGATTATTAATGTTGATCCTCTGGTTCAGTTGATGCCACGTGAACCCAAATGTTGGTACAGGATCGTAAAACCACGGAACTCCCAATGTTCTGATTCCGTTTGCAGAACTGCTGGGAGCAAATCGCGACAAATCTCTTGGAGGCTTCAGGCTAAAATTGCGTGTGAGTTGCAGTACGTGCACTATACAGTCGCCCGATTTTACTCAGGCACAGCCACTGCGACAGTTTGCATTTGGGTGAAACTTTCTGTCTTGCCACAATCGAAAGATGTAGATTGCAGGTTTTTCAAAGCGGAATGTTGAGGAAGTCGCAAGACTCGAGAAGTTTTATAAATCAGAGGCCTCTCACGTATTGCTTGTACTATGAAATATAGGAGGAGGAGGAGGAGGAGGTGAGCAAGCTTATGTGACGCTTGGAACACCTCAAGGGAAGACCTAGTCCGCGTGGGTCAAGTTAAAATGTGGATCCTGGACCAAGGAATCGGTTCAGAAGCAAGGCTCTGACATTCCGTTCTTTATCGAGCCCTCATTTACGGTGCACGGTGTTTATGCAAATGTCAGCATGGCCGTTTTGAACCCAGCCACATGTCTATTAAGTGCGTCATCGCCTTCTTACCTGACCTCGTGTTTCCGCGCAGACACGCCAGCTGCCACGTGTCCACAGCTTGAGTTGGCGCCGCGTTCACTCGCCAGAGTTTCGGAGGAACATAATGACTCAATCTTCATTCCAGTCTCACATACAGAATAGGGGTGAGGACAGAGAGAGCTACAGAATGATGTACTGACGTGAGGAGTTGAGTTAGGCGTATGGAGATTATGGAGGTAACACTTCGCGGATTTGAAGTGTCAGCAACAGAATTGCAGAGGTCGCGGTGCGTCTGTGCTCGCTATTTTGCCCGTGTGAGAACAGTTTCAGTTCGTTTTATGTTCCTGGCCTTCCGTGTTCTTTGCATTTATTTGTACTAAAAATAAAGGCGTGGAGCCCGGACGATTGTGACCAGCTGGTGTTAGGGTTCTGGCCCCTCAGAAAGTGGGTAGCTTATTGCTTTTGGACGTACACATCCGTTTCTTGATGGGATCATTAGTTGCCCGTCTCTTAAGAGTTATAACTCAAACGCTGTCACGCAACACGAAAAATAAATTTCGCAACACGTAACATAATATTACCTCGTCCAGAATTAAGAAACACAATTATAATTAATCTCAAGACAATAAGCAACTGTGAACAAGATCAAATACAACTGCTGTCTGGCGAATTCCTTAACTGTTAAGTGACCACTTCCGTTCACCGTATTCTGGGGCGTCTCTAGACCATCTAACTCGTTCTGGTAAACACTTTCAATTAGATACACAGATCGCTTAGTTTTTAGGGATAATTGGCTCTAAATGTCTGACGTTTAATACAAAAATGTTTATGATTCACTGCCCAGTTGTCTGAATCATTTTTCAATGTCTTTGCAGTTACCCTAAAGAAAGTTTTTGAAATTAGTTGAACTTAACGCGAATGCGTGCACTGTCTTTATTTATTGAATTACGCTACACAAATAACGCGCGTGCTGGTTGCGAGCGATGCCTAATGTGTGCAGCACTTCGGTTCCGTTGCATCAACAGTATTAATAAAATAATATTGATTGAGATTGGTTATGAATTCGAGGGTGTGGGAAGGAGGGGGTCGTGGCCTGTTTAGAGGCATGTTCGGGCTGTGAGTAAAGTACTTTAATTTGATAATATTTAGTGTATTTTCTAAAAAGCTGTATTCAACACTTTTTGAATACTCAATCATAAAGCCGTCATGCGCGATACTGACTAGCCAATAACATCGCTCACAGGCCTTGTGTCCTTGTTGCAGTCACTGGCATGTCAGGTGATAAGGTGCAGCTCACCCAAGTGGGGACTCTGTGCACTCCAGACCCGCACATCCAACTGCTGGATGCCTGGATATCCAGGGACTACCGCACGTTCTGCAGCCTCCTGGAGCAGGAAGTCGTGTCGCCTGACTACTGGTATGATGACCCCCACCTTGCCACCTGTCTGTACCTTGCCTGCAAGGAGGAGGATGGAGCTCAGTGGGCCGAAGCTCTGCTTAAGGCCAAGGCCGATCCCAACAACATGAATGGCGTCCGTAAGAAGGCGCCCATCCACGTGGCAGCGAAATATGCTAGAGGTGAAGTTCTCAAGGTCCTTCTCTCATCTTCACGCACAAATATCAACATTCAGGACAACTGTGGGAATACTCCGTTACATATATTAGCTAAACAAGAGTGTGAGGATTCATCCACAGATGTAAATAAATGCAAATATTGTATTCAGCTTCTAATGAATCAAGATGGAATCGATCTGAACATTGGTAACAGGAAAAGCTACACTGCTATTCATAATGCAGCTTATTCTGGTGCTAAAGAGATTGTGGAGACGATTCTGGAGCAGGCTGGAGACGATTTAGATATCGACACACTGAGAGCAGCAAATGGGAAGAATGCTAGAGAAACTATACTTGAGAAATACCCAGAGTTGGCTAAATTATTGCCAGAACAAGGAAGAGCTCAGAAAGAAAAGGGAGCTGTAGATAAGAGCGTCCTCTTCCAGTATTTGTATCAACGCAAATGTGACCTGTTCATCGCTGCCATTAAGGATCTACCCCTTTGCCAGTTGGAAGAGAATGACGGGAGCCGTACATTCCTGCAGTACTGTGCAGAGAATGGACTGGAGAGTGCAACGAGCGCTTTGTTGCAGGCAAACGTCAATAAAAATGCAACCTGTCCAACAGAGTTTCGTCCTCCTGCCTTACTTGCTTGTTATGGGGGACACCCGGATGTTCTCAAACTCTTCTTGCAGCTTGAAGGCGTGGATTTTAAAGCTGCTAATGATGATAGAAGAACAGCATTACACGCCGTCTTGAATTCTTTGTGGGAAGATACTTCCGCGGTTCATAGAGGCTACAAAGCGTGTCTTGATCTACTTCTGGAACATCTTCCACGCCTTAAAATAAATATCAATGCTGCAGATCAGAAAGGGAACACAGCCTTGCACTACGCTGCGAAAAATAAAGATGACTACGCTGCCCTGACGTTACTGAAGCACGGTGCTTACATTGGCATTAAGAATGTTTTTGGCGAACCACCATTAGCCAGTATGTCGCCACATTTGTTGGAAACTTTCCTGAATGATTGTCTGAGCACAAATGGCGAGTTCCCCAGAGAAGACAAGTATGAGGTCACATTCTCTTATAAATTTCTTGTTCCACCAGCAGAAGAGAGTAGCGCGCAGGAGCAACAAAATTCTGATGTAGAAATGAATTTGCTACCTGATGACACTCAGAGCCCAAATAGGCCACCGCCACATCAAAACATTTCCTCGGCAACAACAAGTACAGAGACCGAACCTCTCCTGTACATCAGCCGATCTCGAGACTTGAGATATCTCCTCAAACATCCGGTGTTTACCAGCTTCTTAAACCTCAAGTGGCACCACATTCGTATTTTCTTTTATATTAATCTCATTTTCTATATCCTCTTTGTGGCACTGCTGACATTTTACATTCTGCTGAGCTACGACAAAACTCACATAAAGGTTGCAAATGAAGATTCACGCAACACCAGCGCTGTGAGCAGTAGCGTGACCGAAGGACCCGCTGGAGAAATGTTGGCATTTGTTAAAAGTGATGCTTCTGACTTCTGGTGGGCTGTCTTGATAGTTTTCCTGATTTTACTGGTACTGAGAGAAATGTTCCAGTTTGTCGCGTTCCCATCAAAATACCTTTGTAGTCCTGAGAATTATCTGGAATTTTTCCTAATTATAACCAGTGCTGCCATCCTGTCTTGTGACTGGGTTCGTGGCAGCGCAAGGCCACACATTTCTGCTATAGCAATCTTGTTCTCATGGGCTGAGTTGGTACTCCTCATAGGGCGTCATCCAAGTCTCTCAACCAACATTGAGATGTTCAAGACAGTTTCATGGAACTTCCTCAAATTCCTCGCTTGGTATGCCATCCTCATCATCGCTTTCGCTCTCAGTTTCTACACATTATTCCGCGACTGTGGTGGTGCAATGCAATGCGGCGAAGAAGGCGACTCCAGCGAGAACTTCTTCCTAGACCCTGGAATGTCAGTATTCAAAACGGTCGTTATGCTGACTGGAGAATTTGACGCATCTTCTATTCCTTTTGTGTCATTTCCTGGTACAAGTCACGTTGTTTTCGTGCTCTTTATATTCCTTATTGCCATGGTGCTGTTCAATCTCCTAAATGGCTTGGCTGTGAGCGATACTCAAGCCATAAGGGATGATGCCGAAGTAGTGAGTTACATCTCACGAGTGAAGCTCATGTCGTACATTGAAACCTTGTTCCAAAGTTCTTCATTTCCATTTGTGGCTACTCTCAAACGTCTCTGTTGTTGTTGGCCAGCTGGTGGCTGCTCTTTCAAATCTGTCGGTAGTAGAGCACGTCTCTTTCCGGACAAGGTCCCAAATAACGAGATACGAGTTCTCCCCAATCAAGGGTCGAGAATTGTCTTCACCAGCCATCAAAAGAAGTGCAATGAAGTTGAAGAAGGGACGAGCAAATGTTGTCTGAATGGCTGTGGGGGCTGTAAGCTTGATTCTGGAATTCTGAAAAGAGCGATGGATATAATAAGTGATCGTAAAAAGAATTCAGAGATGGAGCAATTTAAGACATTGCCTACCCACAACCAGAAACAATTAAAAGAACTTTGCCAGGTTGTAGAAAAGAAACTGGAAAAATTTGAGAGGAGACTCGATAGCATGGAGAAGTCCTGGGAGGAAAGTCAGGTTATGTTAAAAAGAATTTTGGATAACCTTCTTGAATCCAGTTCTTCTGAAAGAGGTTTAAAAGAGTGAATAACGTCGACCACCTTCTTCATGCAGTTCATTTTCTTATTTCACCTTTCAAAATCAGCACTGAATTTTGTTGTGAAAACACGAGGTGACCGAGTTCCAACGCTTAAATTTCAGCATTTATTGCAGATGAATGTAAAATGTACTTTAATATGACTTCATAATGAATCTGACTTTTATGTTGAGTCTATAAAAGTTTGATATGGGTTGCTCTTAGTCTGCTTACTGACAACTTATAAAAATGTACTTGCCATGTCCAGCCTGAGCAGCGTGTACGTAGTGCGCTGCAAATTTTGACATAACATTACTGAGAAAAGACAAGCAAATAATATACATATTTGTAATATCATTTATGAAAGTAACAACACAGTAATTATGCTTGCCACAAACTGACGGATCAAGACAAAGAAGATTTTTAGGCTGTCAGCTGCATTAGAAAATGTTTTATTGTAATATTTTTAGAGTTGTCTTTGTCTTCAGAGTCCGAATTCAGGGACGGTGGCTGCCGAACAACTACACTCTTCGTGCGTGAATATCATTTCACCACGTGGTTGATCCAACACGGAACGCGTTGAGGCAAGGAATGCAACGCGGTTGTCACGACATTTTGACGGTGAGAAATTGGAGAAGGGAAAATGAAGACATTACTTACCTACAACCGGAAGTGACCGAAGGAAGTCTGTCAAATCGTAGAACAGAAACATGAGAAACTGGAAATACGTGAGAGAAGATTTGTGAGCGTGAAGAAGTTCTGTAAGGAAAGTGAGGTTATGTTCTTCCAGCAAAAGTTTAAAAAGGTTAAGAATGCAGATTAGTTGCTTCATGTTCTCTTTGCTCTGGTCTGCATCAGCCATTTCATTGTTCTCTTTCTCTTCCACAAGATATAGAGAAGTAAGAAAGTTATCAAAGTATAGATGGTATGGAAGTTTCAGTTGTGACACAAATAAATACATTACTGTATTCCAAAATCACAGCAGCATTCAGACCTAATATTTTGCAGTCTCTATCAAAGTTGGAGCTGCAATGAATTAACTTTCCTGCCATTTCCAAAAGAATGAACCACCGCCTGTGGTGCTGTTTATTCCGTGATGCATTTAAGTCACTGGAAAGTGTCCAGATTTTGGCACACGTCAGACTTGACAAGATAATAATTTGCCAGATGAATTGTTGACATTCAGATCTGCCTTAACTCACAGCATTTACGAGATCATTTTGAACATCTTCTGCCTCTGCATAACCACTTATCAGTAGAACTCCAGACTTATTATTTTATTTTATTTTTTCTGACTAATGGATAATGTTTTGCTAGAGAAACATTCGATTCACTGGTATCTTCATTGAACAGAAGGACAGACAGAAGGAGCCATCTTTTGACCCAGGTATATTTTGTTATTCCTTTCCTTTGGAGGGTCTGAAATAGAATTTTCATTTTATTACTGCAGCAGACTCAAAAACTGAAAGAACTTCAAAAATTCATAAACATTGCCTCATCCTTCATCTATGGCTTCAAAAATGCATTTATGGAAGGTTCAAGAATTATATCTCTTGGCTCATTTTGGTGAGGGATGTCCATAATATCAGCCAGATTTACACCCCTGTAACTCTTATAAACTCAGAATGAATGAAATAAAGCGAGTTTGTAGTTTTCTGTTGGCGCAGTCGTACCAACATGTAAATTGCTAACGTGCTACGTGCAGGACACAGCAGATCAGCGTAGACCAGAAGCTGACGGGTCCCTTTTATTTTGCCTCCCACTTGAATCAGTTCTGCTGGAATTTGATCATTACCTTCTGATTTATACCTTTTTCAACTTTTGCAGTAATGATTTCAATCTCAAAAGGACTAGGCTCATATCACCGCAGCCACTTCATTGTTCTCTTTGTCTTCCACAAGATATAGAGAAGTAAGAAAGTTATCAAAGTATAGATGGTATGGAAGTTTCAGTTGTGACACAAATAAATACATTACTGTATTCCAAAATCACAGCAGCATTCAGACCTAATATTTTGCAGTCTCTATCAAAGTTGGAGCTGCAATGAATTAACTTTCCTGCCATTTCCAAAAGAATGAACCACCGCCTGTGGTGCTGTTTATTCCGTGATGCATTTAAGTCACTGGAAAGTGTCCAGATTTTGGCACACGTCAGACTTGACAAGATAATAATTTGCCAGATGAATTGTTGACATTCAGATCTGCCTTAACTCACAGCATTTACGAGATCATTTTGAACATCTTCTGCCTCTGCATAACCACTTATCAGTAGAACTCCAGACTTATTATTTTATTTTATTTTTTCTGACTAATGGATAATGTTTTGCTAGAGAAACATTCGATTCACTGGTATCTTCATTGAACAGAAGGACAGACAGAAGGAGCCATCTTTTGACCCAGGTATATTTTGTTATTCCTTTCCTTTGGAGGGTCTGAAATAGAATTTTCATTTTATTACTGCAGCAGACTCAAAAACTGAAAGAACTTCAAAAATTCATAAACATTGCCTCATCCTTCATCTATGGCTTCAAAAATGCATTTATGGAAGGTTCAAGAATTATATCTCTTGGCTCATTTTGGTGAGGGATGTCCATAATATCAGCCAGATTTACACCCCTGTAACTCTTATAAACTCAGAATGAATGAAATAAAGCGAGTTTGTAGTTTTCTGTTGGCGCAGTCGTACCAACATGTAAATTGCTAACGTGCTACGTGCAGGACACAGCAGATCAGCGTAGACCAGAAGCTGACGGGTCCCTTTTATTTTGCCTCCCACTTGAATCAGTTCTGCTGGAATTTGATCATTACCTTCTGATTTATACCTTTTTCAACTTTTGCAGTAATGATTTCAATCTCAAAAGGACTAGGCTCATATCACCGAAATTTACTATTCAGTAGCTGAGAGACGTAATTCTTCCTCCTACTCAAAAAGTGGGAATCCGCAAGCAACCATATGAGGTGGCTTAATGAAAAGAACACCAACGTTTTGAGAACCACGCTTGCCCTCATCCTCAGGGTACTGTGGTCATGGTCGTTACGGAAGCTTCAGCTCATGTTCCGTTCTTTGTGGAAACCAGTGCCCTTTGTGCGCTGCTCTTGGCATGAGGACAGATTATAAAAATGTAGAGAACGTAAACTTGAAATATTTTAATTTTTTATAAAATCCTCTAATGAGGCAATAACCGTCATTTTATGGTCTAGGTGATTACGGAATGCTGTTCATGTGAATTTCGTTCCTCCTTACATCTTGATTGCTTATAGGCCAAATTTTGCTGCAAATAAGGCCCGCACCTTGAAAAGCCATTGCTTTAATCTTTGCGGTGGGAATTTACGTAATAAAGTCGTGTATACTGAGAAATTTGGCCACTCGGACTGGTTATCTGCGTAAGTAAGATTTCCCAGCTTCAAATTTCTATTCTTGTTAAGCTGCTGTGTTATTTATTGCAATTTGTGTCTTGTTTTCGATGTAAATTACAAATAATGCAGGGGATGATGATGGTTTCAGTTGTTAATATGTGCTCCATTTCAGGGAAATTTCTTCCGTCAGATATGATGGAACATTATCTCGTAAATAAATCTCAATATGTCGGTCGAGTAAAGCATTTTAAAAAAATCATATGAAGCGTGGGAAATTGAATATGTTCCAAGTCTCCAGGGAAATAATTGTTATGGGAAACTGTCTAAAAATAAAATATACAAATATACAATTTTGCCTGTAGATTTGTATGGGTGTGAAACTTGGTCTCTGGCACAAAGGGAGGAACGTAGACTGAGGGTGTTTAAAAATGGTGCTGAGGTGAATATTTGAACCTAATAGGGGTGAATTACTACTAGGCTAGAGAAGGTTGCCTTTTGAGGAACTCCAAAAGACGTACTCAACAAATCAATGAAGATGAGGTGGGCAGGACATGTAGCTCGCATGGGAGAGCAGAGGAATGCATAGGCGTTTTTGGTGGGGAAAATTCCACTAAGAACTAGACTTAGGTGGGAGGATAATACAAAAGGTTTCTTAGAGACGTAGGATAGGGAGGTGTGGATTGGATTCATGTGGTTCAGGGTAGGGACCAGTGGCGGTCCTAGTGAACACGGTAATGAGCCTTCGGGTTCCATAAAATTTTGGGAATTTCTTGAGCGCCTGATGGACTCGGTGGTTCCGTGGAGTAAGTTCTTTTCGTGAGAAGATGTACAGAATTTCTGGTCCTTTGTGTAAGTGACTCACAATACGATAACAAAGAGGAAAACGGAAATTACCTCATTATGATTGTGTGACCTCTTAGGAATAAACATTGATGGCCATAAAGAATTTTGGTCACAAAAACAAACAAACGGATCTGGCGATATTTGGAAGAGAAGTTTAACCCCCAGTCCACCCATTGGCTAAGATTAAGAATGCGTGGAGCTCTACCTGCATTCCCCCATACGCCTTTGTGGCGTAATTCACAGGGACGAGTTTGGCTTCTTTTAAACCGTGAGGCAAAAACTGCAGTGGTCAAATCGGTTAGCCTCAGCGGGGTTGAAGTGGCCTGCGTCACTACCCTCGGTCGGTGCGGGTGGAGTGGGGGCAGGCGTAAATATCGTCCTTGGGGATCAACGCTGGAATTTGAAGGTAGAGAAAATGTAACTTTCTTGGAGCACGGTCTAACCCAGTGTGTCACGTGCGGCTAGATTTCTCCATGAGGCTCCGGGTTCCCGCTACCCTGACTAGGGTTTTGGGAGTTTTCCTTGATTTTCCTCAGTCTTTCAATGCAAATGCCGGGTAGTACCGTAAATTAGGCGACAACCATTTCCTTCCTGATACTTTCCAATTTACTAGCATCCTCTCATTCGACGGTATAACAACGTTTCAAAGGTCCTTGCTGCTTCCATCATCAGGGTACAACCCAAAAGACAGCCATCTGCTTTTAATTAACATTTTATATAAAAGAATAACACTGATTCACGCTAGTAATATTTAAATAAAAATGAACTGCCAAAGCCGAGCACGACATAAATATCAAGAGAATTGCGTAACTGATAACTGTTCTGTCTAATAAATCGCTGAAAAGTTTATTTTCAGAATGAATCGCAAACAACTTCTGTTTTGCTGACTCAGTCCTAGAAACTGAAATTTTCGAACGATCTGACAGAGCTCACTGCGTCAGGTGAGGGTTAGCAAGTAGACTCGGGATTTAGCTTGCCACAGAAATTTAAATTTTGTTTTAAGTCTCGTGCATAACGAAGTGTTGAGGCACAACGGCTCGGTGAATCAGTTCACAACATCCAAAGTCGTAACTTCAGGTCTAATTCAGAAAACAAACAGGGCCTTTGACAGGCAGGCAGAATTCCGGGTTCCAGTTAAGGGCTTAGACGTGTTGAGGTGAGTTTCTCTTTCCCGATAACCGTCATAAAGCCATTAGAGTCTACGCGTACTGAAGACCCTTTCGGTTGCAGACTAGAGCGACAGCTTGGGTCAGCACAAAGCTAGAACGTCGTTAACTAAGGTTAATGAACCTTGTATGAGCAGAGGCAGAAATGTTATTTACAAGGATTGTTACCTTCTGTTCCAGTAGGACAGTGGACCTTCCTCCGACTTCCTCACCAAAATATTAGGTGTCGACATTCCAGTTTCTTTGTAATGTTCCTCAATACCGTTATATCGATCTCTGAAGCTAAGCTACAGCGTGGCTGAATCGGGTTCTGTTCCCAGTTTGTTTCTTGTCGTCATGTCTGCAGTAGATTTAGGGACCGTAAATTGAGTATTTATTTATACATTTTATTCACGTTTGAGGACGAGAGAAGTACAGCTCGTTTTTCAGCGTGAAAATTTTAAATGACGTTAATTCGCAACGTTGAAGCTTCACACGTTGGATTAAATAATTTAATTGTTGCACCGAATTTAATAATAATATTGTATAATGCTTCATTCCTAACTAAATCATAGACTTCTATGAAATCCATAAATAACCGATGTCCCATTAAACTCCTACTTTTTCCTCCAACATCTGACGCATCTTTCCGAATACCTGATGAGTACGTGATCCGTCTCCAATAACTTCTCGATAATTATTACAATCAATTTTATCACCATTATTTTAAATAAGCATTCCTCATACATTTTTATTTTATTAGTTTGTCCCAGAGAATCCAAGTCCTCGGTCCTGTGTAACATTTCGTAACATGCTGCATTGTACGACCCACCCAGTCCATAAGCTGAAGGATCACCCCTTGTCGGTTGTCTGCTACTGTTTGTTCAGTATATCCGCAATTACCATTAATAACAGTTACGACTGACGTACTAATGACGTGATGTTTAATTGCCACCGGGGCAGCTTTAATTCCGTAGATCGGGGGTTCTCACCCCTTTTTCGCTGGCGTGCCACTAATTCTAACTTAACAACATTAAATGTACCACCGACCACATGCGTTCGTGGAAAACTTTACGTCTGCCCCCAGTGGCGTTCGCGGTCACCACACGTGTACGTACGTCAATTAGAAACAGTTTCTCTCTAACTGCGTCAAATTTTGGTGATTCTCGCGATGATTTTTTAGACATAATAGACTACAGTATAACTTTTATATGCAATGGGAAACCAAAAAATTCGTGTGACTCGCTATATTGCGGGTGCCTGGAACCGAACCCGCAATATTTCCGAGGTATGCCTGTATAAAACTGAAATGTATGTGCAAAATAATTCTCAATTAGTGAATAGTTTAATAACTACTCGAAATTAAAGTGTAACTACTCATATGACAATTTCATATCGCACAAAAAGCCTATTTTTGGATTCATAACAGACAAATTTAGTGTTCAGTGCGAAGGTCGTGTTTGTTTAGCCAAACACGACTTTCGTATGTTAATTTCAGCCTTGATTGATTTCCTTACTTAGTCCGCGTGCCACCGGTGGTACGCGCACCAAACATTGAGATTCGCTGCCTAAAGCATTTAAATACGTACATCGTAGTCTTGTGGACACAAGTCACTGGAATTGAATATTGAAACAGCCGCAACGATGGATGGAAAGCAAGTTCACAGTCCTTGTCCCTTATTCACGATTGCTAATCGCACACCTGCCACTTGGAATTCTCTTTCTTGAAAGGCAACGTATGCCAACTTTGGTTTTAAATTGTAAAGAAGAGGAGTGCAGGGGGACCAACTGCTGCGCAGAAAATCCATAAGGCTACATTTTTGTGGGATCAACGCCTTCCAAATTCTTATGGATACGCAATGATGGGCTGTGGGTAAAATGTAATCTGCGCCCCCCCCCCAAGCTTTCTTCACATTTATTTTAAAACAAAATACCCTACGATTAGACAGCAGCACAAAATGTATTTGTACTTTACTAACAGGACCAAGAAGGGTAGAAGGAGACTAAAAACACGAAATTTACTAAAATCTATAACAATTTTGGTTCCGAATTAATCATCAAAACTCACTAATTAACATTTTATGAATTCAAACAGAAGTGTAAAATGTCAAATGTACGAACGCAAAGAAAAAGATTTGTACATCTTCGTGTTTCAGTTGGTATTAATGGATTTCCTACGCTTCTCACTATAAAAAAGCAATTATTTACTTTAAACAGCATTATAATGGCGAAGAATTGTGTTTTCTCTGAGGTACGGTCTGAATTCTTAAATATTATATAAACGGGCTTCTGCCTCGAAGGGCTGGTTGCTTCGTTCAGTGCCACGTGGTCAGCGAATCTTTCGATTGGTAGAGCTCGGCAGCTTTTAAAGCTGGCACGACCTCGCCCTGTGCTTTTCCGTGAGCTTTCGACATAAATGTCAATTGCTTATGCGGAAACAAACTATTTCCTGTGCTTAAGTGCACAGGATCACAGGAGCTCGAATCTAAGTAGGTTCTAATTTTTTCTTATTCTCCACTCTTCTGGGTATAGTTAACGCATATGAATTTTATAGTTTTTTTTTTATTTTCATTGTCTGAACGCGTGTGAAAACTAAAAAGACTTTAGCTAGACGTCATGAATTCGTTCTGGAGTTTAAACGACTGCTGTCTTGACAGGAGACGGGCTCTGAATCATCGGCCCAGAGGTCAACAGGGACGGATGCGTGGTCATGAGAGTTTAAGGTTAGCCGTGGTTTGTAGGCAGCGTCGAGTTCTCCTTTGTTTTCGGAATCTAATCTACACGTGTTTGTGTTGTGCGTTCTTTGGACCCGACTAAGACATTTCTTAACTTCGAAACTGCCGGATGACTTTCGAAAAATGCGGTATTGTCGCGTGAACTTTATTTTTGTTCCAAAAACAGTTACGCTACATTATTATAAAAATATATTTGTCACACGAAAGACATTGGCACATTTTATAAAAGATGCTTGTAGAACGATCTACGACTTTTAGTCTATTTGAAACATTTTTCATGTGGCTAAATATAATGAAGTGTGGAAATACCAACGAACTGTAATTTCTTGTTATTTTCAATATTAATTATAGATTTAAACAGGCGACACGGAAATCCGTGATATTTGAAGAATAATAACGACGTTCATGAACCCTCTGTGGTCTGCCCCTGGCGGCGACATTCTAGAGGCGCTGAGTCTTATCTCAGTTCTGGCTCTTACCAGCAGCGAGTGGCCTCGTGCGTGCTCAGTCCTCTCCAGGTGCTGGCTGGGCGAGGCAGGAGCATGTGGAGGCGAGCTGTGTCCGCTTGTGGTGAGGCAGAAATGCCTTCGCCTCGTGGTCTGCCATTTATCGGGACTGTGCTCGACATCTTCGCTGCCGGAGGGACGTCCAGACTGCACGAGTACGTGGACGCCAGACACCGTCAACTGGGACCGGTGTACCGCGAATCTATTGGACCTGTCAAGTGCGTTTTCGTATCCGATCCCAGTGAAATGAGACGCGTATTTTCTCTCGAGGGCAAATGCCCCAGACATCTGCAGCCTGACCCCTGGGTACTCTACAACAAGATGTACGGTTGCAAGCGAGGTTTGTTTTTCATGTGAGTACAAAAATTATGAGCTGCTACTCGGAGGAGAACATGAATTTCGAGAAAAAGGAAGTTTGTGCCCTAGGAAATATTCATTCATATTCGGGGCTATCAGGTTCGAATCCCAAGTCGCATTCCTGTTGTCATCCTGCCTGATATTTTTGTAGTTTTTCTCCAGGAATGTTATAGGTTAATAATTTTACACAACCATTTAGCATGTGACGTTGTGTAACCCGAATTATTTAAAATTAAGTAAATTAGCAGTGGGTGTCTTCCATAACGAGATAAGAGCAGATTCATAATACTTGGGTTCGTTTGTGTTTGGAAGAGTAACCACAAACATACGCCAGATTCACACACAGGTTCGGGGGCTCAGTTGAGTTAGAATACTTAAATCTATGTTAATAGCCCGTTTTCACAAACTGCTGCAAGTGGTCGCCGTTTTGTAAAGTTAATACGCGAGAATCCGTGTAACATCTCCTGGTTACATGATACATTTTCCGGACTTCAGACTCCCGTTGCCCGAATCAGATAAGAGTCGTGGCTCTTCTAATGTCGTCTTCATCCGTGCAACTGAGTGAGCTCAGTTCTGTAAATGATGCAAGAAAGATTAATCCGAATCTCTTCATCGGACTTCGATTGAATTTGACATTGGTGTTTACAGTTAAAATTACTGGGCTAATTTGATTTTGAATTCAAATAAACTGACTCTCGCGATGCTTTGAAGTGATACGAAGTGCGCGTGTGTGTGGAGACTTTACTGAATGTGTACAGGTTTTAAATCAAGTTGACGTAACTATGACGGACCTTAAAGGAATTTTGGCATGAACTTGACGGGATGGAATCATCTGACTCTGTTGTGATGACAGTTTTGTAAATGCCGGGAATATTAACGTCCAAAGAAGTTCCCTTCAGCTTGAAGTTTGGGATTGAGAAACATTTCATCTGCAGTCAACCTTGAACTTGGAAAATGTGACCAGTCACTGCCTGCTTAACACGGAAGGCACGCGTGAGGACCGACCCTTGGATGGACGCAGAATGACCTCTGCTGGCAGAACGATTTAGGGTAGACCGAATGAGATGAGACCAGAAAAACGAACAACGACGCTCCTTCAACTGTGTAGGTTACACAGCGTTAAATGTTGTTAATGTATTGTCATAGCATTTGTTTAGAGAGCATAACAAGATCGCTGGTACTCGGTCATTTATTCTGTTCAAATCGGTCAATGACTTTGAAATAATGCGTTTCTAAGCTTATGAATGATTCTAAGTAACTTTTAACAGTGGACTCAGAATATAAACCATAAGCTTACTAATTCAATTCTAAAGGGTTCTGACGATGGTGGATTAGACTTAAAATCATTTATTGTCTGGACTTTTTCTATCGTCCTTGTTTAAAGGAAGAAACCACGACGTTTCGGAAACAGCCAGTTTCCGAAACGTCGTGCTTTCTGATTTAGACGTTTGGTTACGACACAGTCGATTCGAGAAGCAGAGAAAATGATGAATGAACTAGGAACTTCGTTCGGATGCCGCGCCTATGGCCTTTGATCGTAGAATAATTTCGTAGGAAAACCTTCACAGGAAAGCAACAAAACGCTGACATTCAGAAATAAGAGTAGTTCTAAACTTGAATTCAAATCGGTTTCAGTATCTCGTATGCGTTACAAATCACTTGAAAAATAAGGCGTTCAAAATAATTCTTTTACGTTCTTAGGGAACGAGCATCTCACCCAAGTGACGAATGCCTAAAATTTATGTTAAGGAAGTATTTAAATACGAGGCTAAGTGCGTGTGGAACTGAGGAATTTGCGCAATTTGTTATTTCCTGCTTATCTTGAAGTATTGTTAGGGTGGGGTTAGTTGTGCCACCATGCTCTAACAGAGCGATGGACCGAGGAGGAGGAGGGTAGGACGTGGTGAGAAGACTTGAGATCGAAAGATAAAACGATATCATTAAAATGGCTCTTTGAGTTTCAGGTTGTTAAGTGGTTGGAAGTAATATTAAGAAGCATCTTTCTTTGCCCTTTTCGCTCCTAGATGGCGCATAGAGGCCTCCATTTTTCAGGTTTTCTGATCTGTTTAGACATTCGGTAGTACTCCTTGGATGAGTGATCAGCCCGTCGCAAGGCCTCTACCTGTACACAGGACAACACAACACAGAAAAACATCCAAGGTTTGAGTGGGATTCGAACCCACGGCCCCAGTGTCCAAGCCCACGCCTCAGACCGGCAAGGCGTATCCACACATACCCGATCTGCCAGGGAACAATTCAGAATCCTTGGCGTACAGATCAGTCTGGGGTCAATTTGGACCGCAAGGAGCGCTGTAAGCGAGTTTAGGGCGGAATACGCGGTTCGAACCTTACTTGTCCCATGTGAAGAAATCTTAAAAATTACAGCTTGACGTACGTACAATTCTTATTATCGAAAACGCGTTTTGCATATTTAGAGACGGCTCTGCAGGTTTCGCCCACAGACCTTTTCGAGAACCGACAGAATTGTTAAAAGAATGTAAGAACCTACGTGAGATTTGAGGTTATCACGCGATGAGAGTTCAAACTTGGAGGGACATGCTACAGCGATCCTCATCCGAAGATGGAGGCAGCATGTTTCTCAGGTACGTCGGTTACCACTCAGAAGATAAAATCTGAAAGTTGAGATGTATTTAAATGTATCTGAAACCAGTTTGAGAACCATAATATGTGACAGATTTTCCACAAGTCCACACCTCAGGTTTTTCATATTGAAATAAGCGAGAGATGAGAATCCAGACCTGGTCGTCGAGTCGCGACCGATAGCAGAGCCATCGCTCGAGGTGCGTTGACCCCGAGAAAGAAGCAGGAAGTCTGCAGAGCGCTGACAGATGAGGTGAAGTGGTTCATACTGCATCTGGTAGTGGGAACAATTGGCACCCAAACAGAGATATTTCACGTCTTTAGAGAATTTGCATGCAGGTAGCGTTTATTTTTAAAGTTACATGAACAGATACACCGTCATTTGCATATTCTGTGTTTCCAAAATTACAGCCTTGTCCTATCCAAGAGGAAAAGCTTTTATGTTTGAGGAAGACATTTCATTTGCATTCCCTACGTTTGAGTTTGTACGAAAGTCGACATGCAACGATGTTCGATGTTCGAAGCTTTCAAACAAAAATAGTAATTTCTCTGAAGGAGAGCAATGAGTTTAATTAATAGGAACATAAATCACTTTGATTTGAATTGATCACTTCTGTCCGGTAAACAAACTGCATGACCGGGATTCGATTCCAGACGGGAGTGACAGTGACCACGCCTTGCTGTGAGCAGTTATCTCAAGTTTCAGTTACGGACAATAGTTCAAGTCCATTGTCAAATGCGTTTTATATTGTGACTGATATAGACAGTGATCGTGAGTAGTGATTAGGGAAGGTTTTAAGAGGCGATTTCAGTCTATTTAACTTTAAATTATTATCATCGATTTTGCTTAGGGAGAGCACTGCCAAAATTCGAGCAAACTTCCTTCTGTAAAAATGTCTAAAGAGTAATTTATATGACATGTGGGGAGGAGCCTCCTAGAATATCAGCTAGATGTCTTGTGCACCGACAAATCTTGGTTTAGACAGTTCTTCGAGAAGAACTGTGGGGGCAGTCCCTTGATGTTGGCCACGGCCACTTCCTGTTTCGACTTTCTCCAAGTTAACACCATCATCCCATCTAATACCACGACAAGTAACCTCTGGAGGTGACGCAGCATAGTTATATAATCTATCGACCACAACCCTAATGAAATTTAAATTTTAATTACCTTTTATCGAAGAATTTTTAAAAGTCGCTTATTTTTGTTTTGATTTCTGTCATAAAAATAGAAAATTGCTCTGTGACGTTGTGATTATCAAGTCTGGTGTCAGTTGTTTTTCTAGACTGCGCGCAGCTCTGAAGTTTAAATAATGCAGTTAACCGTCGGATTTCTGAGAGAACGTGCACACCAAAGAGACTCTGAACATGAATAAATAACAACATTTCTAACTCTATTTGAATTTCTAAAACGGGGGACATTTGTTCGCCAGATGCGGTCCGTGTTTTATATTCAAATTTGTAACATGGACACTGAATTACAGTGTCAGACGGTTGCAATATTGCGCGTGAATTCTCTCTTCGCGTTTTCGAATATCCGCTCTTTTATTTCAGTATGACGAGGACCATTGCCACGGTAAATGGCGGCCCGCAAGCTCATCCCATTGAGTTTCATAGGACTACAAATTAAGGCCTGTCATGTAAAATATTTCGCAGCGTACAAACAAAACTAAAGAAATAACCATAAATTGAAAATTTCACAAAAATAAAATAAAATTTCAACTATGGTGCATCACGCAGAAAATCCATGGGCTTGTCGCACATTTCCAGTGCCGTGGGTCTTCGCTGAATGCAGAGATACGAAGTGACGAGTCACCAGATCTGAGTTGAAGTCATTCAAAAACGGAAAGAAACAGAAAACGACAAGTCAAATTCTGTTTTAAGCGAGGAAGGAAAGGGTTAAAATGTATTGTAACGTTGCTCAGACACGCATCAATGATACGAAAGCAAGCGATACATTTTAGAACACCCTGTATGCTTCGAAAACCAACAGAGGCTGAGGTCCGTTCGTCATTCTCGAATAATTGTCTTAGCGTAGTTTTAGAAAACATCACGAATGCGTCCGTTGCATGTAGTGTTTAAGCTCCGTGTTTAAAAACCAATTGACGACATGTGTAGGAGAAGGATCTGATAGGAGACGGAATTTTCCGTTTAATTTTATTTTCAAATGTTTCTGATGTTCCACTTTTAAAATCTAGATACGGGCCATCATTAGACACTCTCCTGACCCAGTTTAATCCCATAGTGTTTATCCAACATCCAATTTCATGTTATTCTCCCAAGAGGGCACTTCGCTTCGGATTTTATGACCAAAATTTTGTATCTCATCCGTGCGTTATTTCGTAACCCTAATAATATTTGGTGAGTACAAAACATGCAAACTCAGTGACTTCGCTAGCCCTAGAAATTTATTAAGTCGTTGACCTTTCTTATTTTACAGAATCTCAGTATGAACTTGGAATTATGTCCTTGATGCAGAAATCATGTCCCCACGTCATGCATATCAGTACGAGGCCAATGTCCTCTGCGCATTGTCTCAGACAGCATGAGGGATCCTTATCTGTGTAATGGCTTGTCGCTTGAAAGTGGATCTGTTTCAAAGCGTTATTTCCTACAAGGCGAAGGCGCACTGTCCAATTCGCATTACCATGGATGGAGTGGAAGAGGGGTATAAAACTCTGTCCTACTCGGTCCTCAAATTGCACACGATGTACGACCCCGTAGGTCCGAATTGTAATACACTTTAAGGTCAAAATACGCACGTGTTTATATTTCAATTGCATAAAGTAGAAATGCCATTAGATAAAAGTCGCTTGTCTGACTCATGTCTGGTCTTGACGTAATGGCCAAGAGATGAAATTGGAACCTGAACTTATTTGATAAGATAACCGCAGGCCCACTACTCGATGTATATTTTGATTTATAAGACTAACGCAAAACATCTGTATTCTAATTTGGGATGGGAACTTACTATTGAAGACGTATATAAATTCAAAGTAACAATATAGAATAAGAGTGAGGTCTAACCTCTGTTACAATAAATTCCAACACCTCTGGGTCTTACCCAATTCCCGAATATTGAAAGACTTTTAGACAAAGTTTTCAGCTGGGCAAAGTTTCGCCGAATGAAATACATCGCGTTTTAAAAAAAAATGGTTAACTCGTCTGGTCGGAATTCGATTTGGTTCAAAACGTGAAAGGAAACGGAGGTTTTTCATATTTTTCCTTGCGATCCCGGGTTTGAAGTCTCAAATATCCCGCGACCTCTCCTTGCAGTCTGTAACCTCTGCAGTAAGAACGTTCGGAGGATATTTTCTGCGATGCCTGACGCATAATAACATCAATTCTTTATGTTCCGTTCGTGTGTGTGTGTGGGTGTGGGCTGACTGCTCGTTTATCTCGTGCTCTCAACCACGCTACTAGTGCAAACGTCTGCATAATTTGTAGTAGGACATTCATATTATCATGAAACCTGACGGAGTCAAGAAACGTGTTCTCCAATTTCGCAGTTCTTAGTTTTGCTGTCCTTTGAATCTGCGTGCGAGCTTCAGGCAAAAACTGGTTGGTTATTGAAGTAATACAAAGTTTTCGCTGTGCCCAAGACGTGATTCCTCTGTACCTTGAGTAATGCCCACAATTTACGTCCAGACTGTTGTTTAGTATTACTCTTAAAGACCACCAATGAGCACGATCCTTTGCCAGTTTCTGCCTTAGATTCTCAATTCTGGAGGTCGCTGGTTCGAATGTGGGCACGAGTTTACTGAGATTTCTTGCTTTTCTCAGCTAATAGAGAAAAATTGCGACGGAAAAACTCTAACGTAGGCCGTGATAGATTTCTTATATGCATTTTTCTGTTTATCATTTACAGATGTTCAAACATTCTGTGTGCTGTAAAGCATAAAAGTCGAGAAATATTAATAATTGAAGAAACAATCCATCCCAGTCTTCCAAGTGACCACTTTCAAGAGATTTCCCAACCAACATTCTGCATTTATGTCTTGTCTCTCCTATCTGAGTTATATTTTAAGCAAATTGAATAAAACTTTTCTTGGATATTATCCATCGTCTAGTAAATATAAAACGTAAAACGACGTTTCGGATTCCCTTTCGCCCTCGACGGACATCGGATTTCTCCTAGGGCTTAGGATCGACTGACTCTCCGAAACGTCGTTTTACGTTTTATATTTACTAGACGATGGATAATATCCAAGAAAAGTTTTATTCAATTGACTCTTCACCATCGTCAAGAAGTTTTAGATCTTATATATATTTTAAGCCGTTGCAGAATCCCTCTGTTACAATGTATTGAGAATAAGGCAAAGTTGTCTTTAACAAACCTTTCGAAAACAATCGTCACTTCGATTCAGTGCTCCATTCTGTAGATGCGTTATGAAAGAAGATCGGACAATTAACTTGTTAGGTGTGCTAAGAAGAAAGTTTCACGAATACAGTTCGCCCTTTTATTTTAGGCAAATTAACACTTTGGATCGCCCATAGCAACAGACGAATTACAGTTTGGGCGTGTCTGTCACACATCGAAATAATAAACTGGCGAGCGAACTCATACGTCGCACTGCTCTCAAAAACAGGAGTGGAATATTTTTACAGTTTTTGTTATAAGAAGACACTGGCAAGTAGCTTAGTTTTCCAAACCGACAAACTCGTGCGTTGCTTTCTACGGAAATGGCAATGTTTTTGCAGACGGGCGTGCTCATTTGTACAGGAGCGAGACAGTTTCGAAGGGCCTCTGTCTCTCAAATGACCGCGCGATTTAAAGTGTTCGCTGTTGCCAGGGACGGCGAGGAGTGGCTGAGATTCAGACGCACTATGAATACACTAATGCTGCGACCTGACAGCGGCGATGCGGTCGTAAAGCCAATCGACACGGTCGCCGATGAGCTGGTTGCCAGATGGGCGAGGAAGTACAGCGGAGACGAACTCCCGAGACTGGACAGAGAGCTGTACCGATGGGCCATTGACAGTAAGTTTATCACACTAACTTTGTATTAGTGTTTTCCTCCAACTTAATTGGGTTAAATGAAATAAAGAACTATCATAGTTTCTTGTCTTCCTACTTGCATATAATCTTAAATTTGTCCGAATGCTTCAGCACCACGCTGTGAAGACGTATGAGTTCCATATATTTTTAATATGTGGTCATTTTCAGGCTTTGATCGCCTTATTACTCTCGAAAGAGCCTTCATTATTCGTTAGTTACGAAGATGGCTAATCCTGAGACAGCCTGTCTCTGCAAATAACTGAACCCGTGTCATCCAGATCATAGTTTGCCAGTAACCTCGCTGGGTCGAGTTTGCAGCTGAAAGTAGCAAAATGTACCCGTCTCTGTCCTGATGTAACAACTCTGTGATGGATTTTCGTAAAATATGTTTCTGGGGGTTTTATTAAAATTTCACAATACATTTTAATTTTTTGTTAAAATTGGACAGTGTTGACGTATAATTTGCATTAAAGCCTACATGTGTTCTGTGCACTCGAGGTACTGGGAGGACATCCCTCAGTATACAGGCCTTCATAAATATTTATTTTGGCTCAAAATTGAAGTAATGTGAATCAAATTAGCACATAATAGTTAACGCATTATTAACAGAAACATCGTATCAGTGTAATAATAACAATACAAATCTGTTAAATGGCCAAAATGTATTTAGGCCCTAGACAAAGGTTCCTTAAAATGAAATAAATTGAACCAAATTTGACGTATTCTGACAAAATTTAATGTCATCTCTCTTTCTTTAAGATTTGTCTGTCAGAGTTTATATAAAAGACACTTCAATATGGACCTCATCTCTGCATCTGGGGTGAAATATTTAATGTTTTCCAGTAATGATGGCAGTACTGACGGGCGATAAATACTTGAAACATCGGCTGGAACTTGAAGATGTGGTGGACCGTTTTGCATCAGTTGTTCACCTCATTTTCGAGGAGAGTGCACGCCTGTCACTCATTCCAGCAAAAATGGCAGCTTTCTTGAAAATTCCAGCTTGGAAGAATTTTGTTTCAGCTATTGATGAAGCCATTTCATTAGGTAAGCACCAGAACACTGCCATTTCATGTGCTTTTATGTGTGTGATGTGTTCTGTTTGTGGGAAGAGGAAGTCCTTAATCCATGGATCATCTAAAATGCACAGGAGATTCCACTCGTCACTCGACAGCGCCGTGTGTTTAGGTTAGGTTATCCTCGAGACACGTACAAGAAAATATTAGGCATGAAATTTCCGTTATTCCCGTACATAAACTTTGACGTGTGTCTCACGACGTGAGGAATGCTTAGAAGATGGTCGTCACTTCGAGACTCTTCTATGAAACAAGTTAATCCACAGCGGGAAAGCGAGCCATGAATAACCGGATATCACGGCGGGTCGGCTGCCGGATCCAGTCCAACGATTGATGTTGTACTCCGTACGTAAATATGAAGAAAAATACAGTATATGAGTTTATATACTTTGTTTATTAGGGCTGTTATCTGATCAATTAACAACTGTCCATTTATCAGTTAATTAACAGAAACAATTTTACAGTGGTGCCAACCGCCTATTTATTAGTAAATAATGAGAAGCATTACTTAATTTTGAAGAAGTTAATTTTTTGTTTTAGAGCTTAAATACACTGTTCAACAGAGTACCAAATATTATAAACATTAGGGAGAAGTTTAGAGATGACGTAGCTTAATTCCTGAAAATTATGAAAGCATATTTTTCCTTGAAGAAAGAAACTAAAAAGG